CTGAAAAAGAGACACGAAAACCCTTCAAAAAATCCATGATTCTAGGAGCTGGTTTTTTAAAAAGATAAAAAAAATAGATAGACCACTAGCCAGACTAGAAGAAAAAAAAGAGAAGAATCAAATAGATGCAATAAAAAATGGTAAAGGGGATATCACCACTGATCCCACAGAAATACAAGCTACCATCAGAGAATACTATAAACATCTCTACACAAATCAACTAGAAAATCTAGAAGAAATGGATAAATTATTGGACACATACACCCTCTCAAGACTAAACCAGGAAGAAGTTGAATCCCTAAATAGAGCAATAACAAGTTCTGAAGTTGAGGCAGCAATTAATAGCCTACCAGCCAAAAAAATCCAGGACCAGATGGATTCACAGCTGAATTCTACCAGAGGTACAAAGAGGAGCTGGTACCATTTCTCCTGAAACTATTCCAAACAATAGAAAAAGAGGGAATCCTCCCTAACTCATTTTATGAGGCCAGCATCATCCTGATACCAAAACCTAGCAGTGATACAACAAAAAAAGAAAATTTCAGGCCATTATCCCTGATGAACATCAATGCAAAAATCCTCAATAAAATACTGGCAAACAGAATCCAGCAGCACATCAAAAAGCTTATCCACCGTGATCAAGTCGGCTTCATCCTTGGGATGCAAGCCTGGTTCAACATACACAAATCAATAAACATAATCCATCACATAAACAGAACCAACGACAAAAACCACATGATTATCTCAATAGATGCAGAAAAGGCCTTTGAAAAAATTCAACAGCCCTTCATGCTAAAAACTCTCAATAAACTAGGCATTGATGGAACGTATCTCAAAATAATAAGAGCTATTTATGACAAGCCCACAGCTAATATCATACTGAATGGGCAAAAATTGGAAGCATTCCCTTGGAAAACCAGCACAAGATAAGGATGCCCTCTCTCACCACTCCTATTCAACATAGTATTGGAAGTTCTGTCCAGGGCAACCAGGCAAGAGAAACAAATAAAGGGTATTCAATTAGGAAATGAGGAAATCAAATTGTCTCTGTTTGCAGATGACAAGACTGTATATTTAGAAAACACCATCATCTCAGCCCAAAATCTCCTCAAGTTAATAAGCAACTTCAGCAAAGTCTCAGGATACAAAATCAATGTGCAAAAATTACAAGCATTTCTATACACCAATAACAGACAAACAGCCAAATCATGAGTGAACTCCCATTCACAATTGCTACAAAGGGAATAAAATATCTAAGAATCCAACTTACAAGGGATGTGAAGGACCTCTTCAAGGAGAACTACAAACCACTGCTCAGTGAAATAAAAGATGACACAAACAAATGGAAAAACTTTCCGTGCTTATGGATAGGAAGAATCAATATCATGAAAATGCCCATACTGCCCAAAGTAATTTATAGATTCAGTGCTATCCCCATCAAGCTACCATTTACTTTCTTCACATAATCAGAATAAAATGACTTTAAATTTCATATGGAACCTAAAAAGAGCCCACATAGCCAAGACAATCTTAAGCAAAAAGAACAAATCTGGAGGCATCACACTACCTGACTTCAAACTATACTACAAGGCTACAGTAACCAAAACAGCATGACATTGGTACCAAAACAAATATATAGACCAATGGAACAGAACAGAGGCCTAAGAAATAATGCCACGCATCTACAACCATATGATCTTTGACAAATCTGATAAAACAAGCAATGGGAAAGGAGTCCCTATTTAATAAATGGTGTTGGGAAAACTGGCTAGCTATATGCAGAAAGCTGAAACTGGATCCCTTCCTTACACCTTATATAAAAATTAACTCAAGATGGATTAAAGACTTAAATGTAAGACCTAAAACCATAGGCAATACCATTCAGGACATAGGCATGGAAGACTTCATGACTAAAACACCAAAAGCAATGGCAATGAAAGCCAAAATTGACAAATGGGATCTAATTAAACTAAAGAGCTTCTGCACAGCAAAAGAAACTGTTAGCAGAGTGAACAGGCAACCTACAGAATGGGAGATTTTTGCAATCTATCCATCTGACAAAGGGCTAATATCCATAATCCATAAGGAACTTAAACAAATTTACAAGAAGAAAACAGCCCCATGAAAAAGTGGGCAAAAGATAAGAACAGACACTTCTCAAAAGAAGACATTTATGCAGCCAACAAACATATGAAAAAAAGCTCATTATCACTGGTCATTAGAGAAATGCAAATCAAAACTACAATGAGATACCATCTCACGCCAGTTAGAATAGTGATCATCAAAAAGTCAGGAAACAACAGATGCTGGAAAGGATGTGGAGAAATAGGAACACTTTTACACTGTTGGTGGGAGTGTAAATTAGTTCGACCATTATGGAAGACAATGTGGCAATTCCTCAAGGATCTAGAACTAGAAATGCCATTTGACCCAGCAATCCCATTACTGGGTCTATACCCAAAGGATTCTAAATCATTCTACTATAAAGACACATGCACACGTATGTTTATTGCAGCACTGTTCACAATAGCAAAGACTTGGCACCAACTCAAATGCCCATCAATGATTGATTGGATAAAGAAAATGTGGCACATATATGCCATGGAATACTATGCAGCCATAAAAAGGATGAGTTCATGTTTTTTGCAGGGACATGGATGAAGCTGGAAACCATCATTCTCAGCAAACTAACACAAGAACAGAAAAACCAAACACCACATGTTCTCACTCATAAGTGGGAGGTGAACAATGAGAACACATGGACACAGGCAGAGGAACATCACACACCAGGGCCTGTCGGGGGAGTGGGGCTATAGGAGAGATAGCATTAGGAGAAATACCTAATGTAGGTGATGGGTTGATGGGTGCAGCAAACTACCATGACACGTGTATACCTATGTAGCAAACCTATATGTTCTGCACATGTATCCCAGAACTTAAATACTAAAAAAAAAAAAAAAAAAAAAGAAAAGTGGGCAAATGATATGAACAGACACTTTTCAAACAAAGACATGCAAGTGTCCAACAAACATATGCAAAAATGCTTAGCATCACTCATCGCCAGAGAAATGCAAATGAAAACCACAATGAGATATCATCTTACTCCAGTCAGGATGACTATTATTAAAAAGTCAAAAAACAACAGATGCTGATGGGCTGCAGAGAAAAGGAATGCTTATACATTGTTTGTGGGAATGTAAATTAGTTCAGGCACTGTCAAAAGTAGTTGGAGATTTCTCAAAGAACTTAAAACAGAACTACCATTCAACCCAGCAGTCCCATTACTTAGTATATACTCAAAAGAAAAATAAATTATTCTACCAAAAAGACACATGTACTCATATATTCATTGCAGCACTATTCACAATAGCAAAGACATGGAATCAACGTAGATCCCCACCAACAGCAGACTGGATAAAGAAAATGTCATACATATACACCGTGGAATTCTACATGTTCATAAATAAAGGACGAACTCATTTCCTTTGCAGCAACATGAATGCAGATGGAGGCCATTATCCTAAGTAAATAACACAGGAGCAGAAAACCAATTACCACATGTTCTCACTATAAGTGGGAGCTAAATATTGGGTACTCATGGACATAAAGGTGTCAACAGTAGACACTGCATACTATAAGAGAAGGGAAGGGAGGGGAGCAAGTGTTGAAAAACTATCGTGTTCTATGCGCACTACCTGGGTGACAGGATCATTCGTACCCCAAACCTCAACATCATGAAATATACCCATGCACCAAACCTGCACATGTACCTCCTGAATCTAAAAGTTGAAACTATTTTTTAAAAAGTACTTACCAAGCGAAAAATAAATTATTCAAATAAATAAATAAAATACTTAGTGAGAGATAAATAAAATGAGCATCAGCAATAGCCTTGAAACAGAAAATAAAGTTTTTTTAAAAATGGGCAAACTACATTCAGAGAAAGAGGTAATACTGAAGTTTCACAATGGAAGCGGGGCTGTAAGAGGACAGTTCATCCCCTATATCTTAGTGATGGCAGAGGTTTAAGAGCTCCTAGTGTTAACACTGAGGCTAAGGTCTTCATTTAACACAAGCAGAGGAGCTTGTCTCCTTGCTCATATTGGCCAATACTGGTCAATTGCCACTTCAAAAGGGAAGTGGCTGCTTTGCCAGATCATGCATGGGTTAAGGCCAAGGTTAGGACATATCCACAGGCTGTACCAGAAAAAGACAGAACAGAGGAACCCAGCTTCTTTAGCAGCATACTTGGACATTCTGATTACCACCTTTCTTCTGGACAGAGAGCAGAAACCAGGCTAAGGCAGCCACACATGCTGCCAGTTACCCCCAAAGCCTCTTAGAAGTAAAGAGTCTTTAAGGTTCTCAGTATATGTGAAAATGAAAGCTGGGTGTTGTGGCTCATGCCTGTAATCCCAATACTTTGGGAGGCCAAGGCAGGAGGATTGCTTGAGCCCAGGAGTTTGAAGTTCAAGACCAGTCTGGGCAAGAGAGCAGATCCCGTCTACAAGTACTTAGGAAGCTGAGGCAGGAGGATTCCTTTGAGCCCAGGAGTTTGAGGCCACAGTGAACTATGATCATGCTACCACACTCCTGCCTGGGTGACAAAGCAAGACCTGTCTCAAAAATAAATAAATAAGAAAAAAATGAATTTTGATACATTTTTAATATTTTGGTGATTTTTAGTATTTACATTTAACAAGTTGCTGCTTTTAAAACAAAGACACACAAAAGGTAAGGTAATTACAGGATTTATGAAACTATTAAATCATAGTGCCCTGTGGTTGCTATGGTTGAGATAATGGGACAAGTTTAAAGTGGTGTTGCCTTCTTTCAGTCCTCTGGGTGTAACTCCAGACATAATATTCATGTTTATACTTGAGACTCTTCATTACTGAAAAGTTAAGGTCACACAGTCCCCTTGGTCCCTCTGTGAAGGGTACTATTTACTTCCCAAATGTTCCTAATTGAAAATCATTCCTTAATAATAAGCCTAGCACACTACCTGCTCCAACATACCGTGATGTTATAAAGGAGGCAAAAAGACAATTTGCAAGGAATCGAAAGGATTTTAGGATGTAAGTTGATGCTATACTATTGTTAAATATAATACTTTTTTTAGAGCTGGAAACAGAGAAATCATCTAAACTAAGTTCCTTATGTTAATCATGAGAGTCATGTCTGAGCATCTTACAGACTCAGAGATTCTTTTCAGGTAAGTGTCAAGGGTGTATGTTGTAACCATGGAACCATGGCAAGTGAGAGGGACAGAAGAAAGGAAAGAAGCTTTGCTTGGTGTGACTGGAGGGGTGCACATCGTCCATTGACAAAGATAAGCCCTGGAAGACTAGCAGAAAGGTTCCCTGCAGTAGAAGGAATTCCCTGGAACTGGGGTGGCAGCTGGGCTGGTGTCAAGCAAGGAAATCAAGACAGCAAAGTCCTTCCTGAAATGTTTTCTTGGGGGAACATTTTCAGTTATTTGTACTTAATTTAAATAATTGCTTGTGGTCAGTCATGGTAATCTTATGTGCTAGGAAGCTAGGAATGGGTTAATGAGAGAATATCCATCAATTTTTACAAGAACAAATTGGCAGGGTCCAGTTCTTCTGTCCATGCTATCAAGGTTACTGCCTTGAGATGTCATTGCCTTTAGGGGGAGAAAAGATGATCCTCCCTTTTGGGTGCCTCCTGCCGTCCAAGGAGCACCTCCAAGAGAGGTAAATGGAGGACCACCAGTTATGTCCTATCCAGTGGGCAGATCTAAAAGCCTGCACCCCCATTTTCCAAGGGTCCCCATTCCCCTCTCTCCCACCCACCCACCCACAGACACATGTGTACATCCACACACACATACCCCTTAGACTTCCTGTGCTTAGTGGGAAAAACAGGGATGGACACTTTTCTAGAGGGTCCCCGTGGTAGCAGAAGGTGGAGTCCAGCTGTCCTCAGGCGTGGTGGGTGATACCGTCGGCACAAGTTTGTAAGAGGGAATGTGTTGAGGGATTCTTTACACTAAATAGTGCATAGGGAGGGAATGAATTGGTTTGTCGAGGGCTTTTATTAACACGTGTGTATCAGTAAATTGCTAATTTATTCTTTTCCAATTAGTAATGCCTGCATTATTTTAAAATTTAACTTCAAATTTTGACTTTATAGGGAAAAGCTCAGAATTAATGAAGAAATAAAACTTCTAAAATGGCGGCAGGAAAGAATTGACCAGGAGCTTGATAGGTTTGTCTCTTATTCAATTGGTAGTGCTTAAGATCATCTTTAATTGAAGAGATGTTACATAAAACCACAAAACTGCAAAAAAAGTTTTCTAGTTAACAGTTAATCTGGAGTAACATTTTAACTTGCTTTAATCACAAGATAATCTACTCTGATAATTTAATTAATCGCTAAACATTATCATCATCTACTTTTTCCTCTCCAGCCATAGGACTTAAGCTCAAGTCCTTTTCAAAATAAACCGATAAGCGTGCCCCATCCTATGAAAGTTGTAAACTAGAAAAACAACCGATTTAGCTGGTCTCTCTTGGGCTAGTTTTTTATTTTCCTTCTTCCTCTATGCATATAAACATTTTTCCTCAATGAAGGGACTCATTTGTTTATTTTATAAATTAAACCATAAGAAGAAAAACTATAAAGTATTGAGATTAACCTACTTCTTACAACACACCCGCAAGCACGTGCAGAATAAGAAGTATCAGACAAGTCCAGCCCTTCAAACAAGCCCCCTAGGGAGACGATAACTTTGTGCCAGTCACACTTCATACTTCTAAATACGATTTTAGAACTTACAAAGCTAGTTTTCCAGTCACATGAGAAAATTAAACCCACTACTTTAGGATCTTATCTCACTTTTCACCAAAAACTTTATCACCCAGCTTTCTGCTTCACAACACCTGTTACAAGGTTCCATTCCGGGTGACTCTTACAAGTTTCCAAAGATCAAATCCACACAGGACAAGAGTTTTCACCACTGAGAATATGCAGAGGGATGTAGGACAATTTTCAGAGTAACTCACAAGAAGTATTCAAATATGTTTAATGCAATGGCACATTGTTGGAAAATACGTATTCGGATATATAAATCCCATGTGCTTGTTAAAGTTATAGGCACAGTGTATGAGCTTCCATTTGTAATCTTGAAAAGAGATATTCATGAGAGGAAAGGCAATCAGAAAGAGGGAGGATTAGTAATGTTATAAAACTTCATGAATATACTAAAACCACTGAACTGTACACTTTAATGGTTCAATTTTATGGTATGTAACATATATCTCAATAAAACTGTTATTTTTTTTAAGAGGGGAGATTGTAAACTAGAAGAGTGACTTGGAAGAGGGAGTGATTTTAACTTAGTGAGATGAGACAGATTCTAAGGATACTGTGCAGTTCAAGGAGATTCTAAGAAGGTGTTACTGAGAATCGACACCGTAAGAGCCAGATTTGAGACAAGCATGGAAGGAAAAATGTGAGGCCTAAAGAGCAATCAGTGAGGAGGAAACCCAGCTTGAGAAGACAAAACAAGCAGAGAGAATGAGTGAGGGGGCATGTGCCAGTCACAGAGCACGAATGCAAGAGAACCTCCGACTAAGTAATCCCACTCTGCCTTCAGGGGTGCGCTGGTCTAAATGCTGAAGGCACCTCGGATAGGCCTGGCAAGGGGTTAAATAGCTCATCTAAACTGGCTGCTTCAGCAACGTGTATTTGGGATTTGCAGAAAATTTTACTTCCTGCCAATTTCATGGAAAAATAGTTTTTAAGTATTTCACTTGAAAATTGCCAGTGAAAGAACACAAACAAATTTACAAGAAAAAAACAAACAACCCCATCAAAAAGTGGGCAAAGGATATGAACAGACATTTCTCAAAAGAAGACATTCATACAGCCAACAGACACATGAAAAAATGCTCATCATCACTGGCCATCAGAGAAATGCAAATCAAAACCACAATGAGATACCATCTCACACCAGTTAGAATGGCGATCATTCAAAAGTCAGGAAACAACAGGTGCTGGAGAGGATGTGGAGAAATAGGAACACTTTTACACTGTTGGTGGGATTGTAAACTAGTTCAACCATTATGGAAAACAGTATGGCGATTCCTCAAGGATCTAGAACTAGATGTACCATATGACCCAGCCATCCCATTACTGGGTATATACCCAAAGGATTATAAATTCTGCTGCTATAAAGACACATGCACACGTATGTTTATTGCAGCACTATTCACAATAGCAAAGACTTGGAATCAACCCAAATGTCCATCAGTGACAGATTGGATTAAGAAAATGTGGCACATATACACCATGGAATACTATGCAGCCATAAAAAAGGATGAGTTTGTGTCCTTTGTAGGGACATGGATGCAGCTGGAAACCATCATTCTCAGCAAACTATCACAAGAACAGAAAACCAAACACCGCATGTTCTCACTCATAGGTGGGAACTGAACAATGAGATCACTTGGACTCGGGAAGGGGAACATCACACACCGGGGCCTATCATGGGGAGGGGGGAGCGGGGAGGGATTGCATTGGGAGTTATACCTGATGTAAATGACGAGTTGATGGGTGCAGCACACCAACATGGCACAAGTATACATATGTAACAAACCTGCATGTTATGCACATGTACCCTACAACTTAAAGTATAATAATAATAAATAAATTAAAAAAAAAAAGAAAAGAAAATTGCCAGTGAAATTAATAGTCTTATATATCCTTTATTCCATTTCTCTTTCTCTCACCTGTGTTACTTTTACTAATGTTTCACCTTGTCTCAAGTTTCTGTCCTTCCTTGCCTAGCTACCATTGCTTCTCTCCTCATTCTTAGATCTCTGGAAAGGTTCCTGCTGCTTCCTAAATTAAACCATTCAAGTCCTTCATAAATATTTCTTGAATGAATACTTGGTCATAGATATGATGAGATTCCTGGATCCCTGCTCACAATGAGCTTACAGTCTAGTAAGCAATCTCACCCACTGGCCTTTTCCATCTCCCTCTCTTTCTTCCCTGTATCTCTCCCTCGCCAGTCTCTTTTGCTCTTCTCTCCCCACTGTCACTCCTTAAAGTCTGGGCTAGAGCCTCATGAGTGGAATCAGTTAAAGCAATACTATGTGAACCATCTAACTGAAGAGGATGTGCCACTGCTGGGATGAGAACCACACAGTGGGTGGAATTGAAGGCCTGAGTCACAATGCTTGGGTTCAGACTGTCTCCTTGCTAGGTGTATGACTGCTGTGTGTGTGTGTGTGTGTGTGTGTGTGTGCATGCACGCACATGCAGCGGGGGTGGGTGTCCGAACCTATCTAAGCCTGTTTCCTCATTTATAAAATAGGATAATAGTAGTACCTACTTCAGAAGTTTTAAGGGTAATTGAATTAATATATGTAAAGTGCTTGGCAAATGCCCAGTATATTAAATTCTTAATAAATGTTGCTTATTAGATGGTGTCAGTATAAGGACAATTAGTTTGGTTACTGATTTTCTTTATTCCATTATTAGACTCCAAGCAAAGGCTACCAAGAAACCTCACGAAGTGAAACAAGACTTTGAGAAGTTTCTACATGAACTGGTATGTTTTCTTTCTGAAAATAATTGAGAATTCTCTCTCTAGCTTCTTTTATATAGACTGGACAATATTTCATAAGAATGTATGGTGGCACATCCAAATTACAGTGGTAGAAGAGGATACATTCTTGTCATTTAATCATCCATATGCACATGTAAGAAAATCTCTGTTTTACATATTGAGTGACAACTCACGTTCACATTCCCCATTTCCAGCTTCTGACCAGGAACAGTTTATGTAACTGAAAAGCTCTAAATGCAGTTAGAATTACAAACTAATAATCACTGATGTTTGAAGCTGTATTTTGTTTTTCATTAATAATTCAACAAAATCATATTGGGTACCAACAGCTGTGTTAGATGGATGGACCCTGCCCTCAATTAATGGAAACACAAGGCAGAATATCATAAGGTTCTAAATAGGACTCAAGTATGAGAAAGAAAGGAAAGAAAGGAGCCTGTTCCATCTTTCTGATTTTCCTTGTCATCTTCTCTTTCGCTTCTCTTTACCTATGGGCAGTCTTGTTAAGTCTGAAGGGCCTCTTCCCTCCCAACAGACAAGAACATATAGAGACTAGTGTACAATATGTCTGAAGGTTGGACAACTGGAGGTCAGGAATAGAGGAGAGCCTTTTATTTTCAGCATGTCAAGGCTTCCACTCAAAAATCTAGAGCAATCCCATTGACTGCTAGTATAATGTCAAAAATGGGTCAAATCAAATTCCTACATGGGTCAGAAAAGTAAGAAAGTGGTGAAACACCTGGGTGTTGTATAATATACAAACAGGACAGTATAATAAGCAAATAGAACTATTATTTTTATTTTTTTGTTGTTGAAACAGGGTCTCACTCTGTCACCTGTCACCCAGGCTGGAGTGCAGTGCTGCAGCCTTGAGGTCCTCAGCTCAAGTGATCCTCCTGTCTCAGCCTCCCAAGTAGCTGGGACAGCAGGCACATGCCACCACTCCCAGCTAAAGACTATTTTTTACATCCACACACGAAAATATTCATTCTTTTTTTTTTTTTTTTTTTTTTTTTTTTTGGTCTATCTTCCCTACTATTGATAGAGACATGGGCACAGAGAAATACCTAATTAGAATAGGAAAACAACAGTGCAAGTGTGCTGATAAAGGGCAAGTGACCCCAGCTGGTAAGTGGTAAATGATTTGAGTGCCAGGGAAATTATTATACAAGCAGTTGTGGAAACTGTAGCGCACTGGAAAGCCGTGCCTCATCTAACAAGACAGCTACTATCTCAGCCCTATTTCATTGATGCCCTGCAGAAATGTAGGACAAGTAGTATCAGATATTCCACCACTCAGTAATCCAGATTCTGAGTAATCCAGAATATCTGATACTGCTTGTACAGTCTCCTGATTTGGAGCCCAAGTTTTTAGTCATTCTGTGGGTCAAACTATATACATCTGCAGACCAAATGTGGCCCGTGGGCTGCTGGGCTGTAACCCCTGATCTAAATGCTGCCTGGATTTGACTCTTCAAAAGCTAACTCCAGCCAGCATAGTCAATCTTATTCTTCACTATATACCAAAGCAAACCCTTCACTCTCACTGAGCCTCCTACATGCACCATGTCGGCCTGTACCCATAGGCTTTGCTCATCTGCAGTGTGCACTCCACAGCTTTTAAACTCTACTCATCCTTTAGAGCCATGCTCAAAATCCATTTACTGCATGATCTTTCTTCTAATGGCCCCAGCCCTATCCCTTCCAGGTAAGTTCAGCATCTCTCATAATGTCTAGAATACCACATAGTGATGGTAAGACTGAACTATAGTTCTTTTTTCAAGAGAGAAATCAAAACACATATAGAATAGATCCCTCGCTTTGATGACCATGTGTGTCCCCCAAAGAAGAGTGCACACTGGAAATTTTTACTCACCTTTTGTGAAGAAGAAATCACCTAGTGAAAATTTTAAATGGAACAGCAAAGCAATGACAAGCGCCTTTGGTTTTTGTTTTGTTTTGTTTTGTTATACTGATCCAGGTATCTTTAAAGAATTATATACCAACCACAAATCCTTTGTGGAAAATGGCACATTATTAAAAAATAAAGGATTATAAATTTAAATAAATTCAGGTTTTGGATTTTTGGGTTTATAGAACTCAAAATTCTTTTAACAAATTTGACTCAAGCTTTCTCAAGCATTTACCTTTCTGCTAAGAATGAAAATGCATCAGAAGTTTATTTTAAAATAGAATATCGGCTTTCTTAGTATTCTATGTATGACTGTTATCCTTTAAGAAATAAAACCAGCTTTGCACAGGCCTCCCTTAAACTGAAATTCTAGAGGGTGATGCCCAATCTGTGAGTTAAACATTAATGAGCTAATGAAATCACAGAATCATAAGTAATTGTGATATTTCTGGATAATTCATGCCATAAAACCACTGCTATCTCAATTACCTGAGTATTTCAGCAAAATACTTTTTGGTCCAAATCATTACGTAATTCAGAAAGTGCTTCCTATAGTCCATCCACGAGAGAAAGCCAGTCATTTGCCATCACTAGCCAAACATTTCTGGCCACTCTTGATATACATACAGAGGTACCCATCAATACCGTTACAAATCCCAGAATTCATTAAGTCTTTTCATAGTCACTTTCACCCACATACTTGCATACCTGCTTTATACTGGGGTGCATATATACAAACAAGCTTTTCTAGATAAACAAAAAAGGGATATAAGGAATGTGTGGGATTTCTTGGAAGCGGCTCTTGAATTAGAGAGGTATTTGAGAAAAAGTAGTAGAAAAAGAGTGATAAGAAAGTAAGTTCTATGAACAAACTGAATTATCTGAATTAGCATCTAGATAATTCTTTATTTCAATGTGAATAGAAGAGACTTAAAGTGTTCTTTATCTAAGTTTTTCTGTTAAGTAATGGAGATAGCTCAGGGCCAAAAGAATTGAAAGTGGTTATTTCAATGATATCACATGGTTTAAAAATATTCAAATGAGTCTGAATTTTCTTCCCATATCCTCCTTTTGTCAGAAAAAAAAAAATCCTTACTCTCTTGATAATTGGAGGAATCTCACATTCAATTATACAATGTCCAAGAAAATCTGTGAAACTTTAATCATGTATTATTTTCATAGCGTTCTGAAGCTGAAATTGAGAGAGAATGTGTGGCATCACTGTCGTCGTCATCATCATCATCAACAGAGAACTACAACTTTGAGGAAGAAGAATACTAAGAGAAACCGGAAATGAACTCTATTTAAGAATAATGCGTACAATTCAAAGAATAATGCGTACAATTCAATGGTATCAGTTTAATTTTAACAATATATTTAATTCAAGTCCAATTCATGTAATCAGTATTAAGAATGTGTTTTACCATTCATCTTTAAAATCTTCAAATGAATAAATCTCAGTAAATTATTCTTAAAAGATCTGTCCAAGCATGATCTTGACTCTTAATAGTAAAACCATATTTTAAGATGGAAAAATAATCATTATGAAGCATAGAGAACTTTCAATCATTTCTTTGAAAATATATCTTGATATAATAGCAACCATTCACCATAATACAAAACAGAAAGAAGATTAATTTACTGTGGCATACAAAGTCCTGCCAATTCCTAAGTGTCCTAAATAGTTTCTCTGAGATTTTTTACATTTTTTCAGGCCTCAAGGAAAACCAAAGCCCCGCCTCCAGGTTTGGTAGCAAACAAACTCTGCTTCTCTGGTGCTAAGCTCCCATCACTCCTCTGGTAATAAGCTTTGTGCACATTGGCTAGGAAGCCGGGCAGCTTGTCCGCAGGTACTATTGATACTGCGCAGCCTCCCCATCCTGCTCCAGTAAGTCGTGACCCTTGAGCCCCCAACTTCCTAAAACAATGAGAAAAAAAAATATTAGAACCTGTAAATGAAAATGCAACTGATTTGCTTGATGTTTGTGGAACACATAGCCTATCTAAGTTCTAAGAAGAAAATACATGAGGGGTTTTTAGGTGTCATCAAACATTTTAGGACATTAAGACATTTATACTGTTTCAGAGAGTGATTAGGAATTTTTTCATTGTATCTAAATCTAGTCCCTGGTTTTGACTCCAAGTAGTAAGTCAACAGTACTCCTCCCATTTCATGACTGGCAATAACCCACTGTAATATTGATTCCATAAAGTAGCCACTTGAAGAGTTGTATAGCAAGCTTACAGGTAAATCAGGAAGGAGGTGTTAAAATAAAACAGGCAATGGTAAAAGAAATGTAGGCAACCCTGAATCAGAAGGTCACTCCAAATGAGGGCAAATCAAAATTTAAAATGTACAGTCTTATACAAGTTTTCCCCAGTGGCGATTTCAGCTGCATTCTTAAGTCCGGGCTGTTTCACAAAGAAGAATCAGTCCCCTAGAACAGATAGCCTAGTTCACTGAATAAACTTATCAACAAAAAGCTTGTTATTAAACTCCAGGTTGGGTGGGTGATTGGTTGACTCTCTAATGGAAAATTAAGCAAACCTTTCCACAAAGAGGATGGCTGTCCCTAGAGTTCCACACCACCTTCCCTGTGCCTTCTGGAGCTGGTCTGATTACTGGACTCAGAATTTGACATCAGATGAGATGTATCTGATTGGGATGGCAACAACTATATAAAGGACCACACAGCAAGAGTTAATTTTAGTTACTGTAAACCAGGCACAGTTTCAAACCTAAGATTTTAACCAAAGTGAAAGGCCCTATCACAATGTACACAGATCACTTAGCTTTAAAAGATGCAATTTATCCTGACAAGAAAGTTAACATGTACTTATAATTAATTCTTCTTAATAAAATCCACTCCAAATTATTAGTGGATTAAAGGCTCTATGATTAATTTCGTACAATTTTGTCTCTTTTTTTCAATCTAAATGAGATACTTTACTTCCTGGACGTATCAATAGAATACTACCTCTACCCTAGAACATCAAAATTACTGCATGTCAGTAACTGATTTTCCCATCAATGATTCTTCTCAGTTGATTTCTTTTTATCACCTGCTTTATTATATATATTAAAATATGCTTTTCAAATGAAAATAGGTATTTAAGAAAGAAAAAAATGCTTACAAACAAATGAACATCATTGATCTCCTCCTATCCCTTAAACATTCAGCTTATGGCCCAGTAGCTGAACTAAGCCTGAAATCCCATCATCCAGGCTAAAAAATTTCTCTGACCTTGGGATCCTTGGATTATTCTAAATTCCTAGGTTGGCAAAGAGCCTGTTTACAGTTTGTTGGATTTTAAAAAAATGGTTGCCATATGCAGTCACATCAAACTCTTACTGTGGAAAACTAAGGTGTCACTCAAGTGTCTCTGGAAGACCCTAAAATATGGGCATTAAAGCCAGCCATGACATGGTCTAGAGAAGAACAGTGTGCCTTCTTATTTGATTTTCTAAGATCCAAAATATGCCATTTTGCTGCATTCAAATTATCAAGTCTTTAAGGGTCCTCAGTCCAACTTCTAAAAGGCCTATTTTATTATACTTTCTCATTTGAACAGTTTTTGAAAGCTGTGGTTTTTCAAAATTGAACCTAAAGCAAACTGAGAGTATTGTTTTTAATCTGGCTGTAAAACCTATAGGAATTGGGCCCAAGGTCTATTTTCCTGAGACTTTTAACAGTTTCCAGGGAGCAGAAGCTGGAAGTCTTTGTAGGTCAAGATATTCAATACTGAGTCTCCAGAGCTGCTCTGTCACCACCCTGCCTGCTACAGATGAAAATGGACTGAACTGCATCCATCACATGGTCTGAAATCACCAGGGCTCAAATTTCCCAAATCAAGAATGGTAAGTGCTATTTTAAATAGCCTTCTGCCCCAGAGTCAGTGGCACATCTGATCACAAGTCAGGGCTGCCCCAGCAGCTGGTCAGCAGCCTGCCAAGCTACATACACTTACAAAGGCAGAAAGGTCTGTCTGCAGTGTTCCCTGCTAGTACTTAATAGGCCCTTTGGCATATGCCATAGAAATTCTGAGAAGACCAAAAGTTAGGAGACCACTATACACTTTAAATAAAGAAAGAAAAGTAAGTGAACCAAGGGTGTTTAGTGAACTTTTCATGTTTGTGCCTTTTTCTGGAAGAACAAGAAAACATTAAAGATTTATCTTCCAAGCTATTGCACATCAGAGAGGCAATACAAGAATTATAGAACCCAAAACCCTAAAATCCCTCAGATCCCACTTTGATAACTGTGATGACTGGATTGGGAATAATGTGGAAGGGTTTGTTAAAGCAACAAAGGCAGCCTCTGCTTTATAAAGCATGATGGCAAAGGCTAGGGCAGATGAGGGATGGAGATGATGAGGAATGTTCTCTTTGAACCTTGTGTATTCACAGAATTAACTGTCCAGGCACCCAATATAGCCAAAGTCAAATTTCCTACTTTTAAGTGAACTAATTCGACCATAAAGCGCTAAGTTGCAAGATACAGAGCAATGGAGAGGGTGGGGAGGAGATCCAGAGAGACCCAACTGCACTACACACTTGAGAAAGACGGAAAGTAAGAAATTATGCCTTGTATTTAAATTCTGTGTCATTTCTTTCTAAATAAGTAAATATATATTATACAAATGGATATGAAATAAATTATTTCAGGAAATCTTGAATTTGGAACAGGTCACATCTATCTCTCTGAACCTAGCCCAGCATAATTCTAGGAATTTAATAGGTTCTAATAAATGGCTGGTGGACTACAATATTTCCCTTAAAATATTTTTAAAAATTATATGTAATATAAGCAGTCAGCAGTGTATTTTTTACTTGGGAAGACTTCTAGCTTCTGCTCTCTGGGAAATGGCAAGAATCACAGGTAAGGGACCTTCTAGCAGTTTCTATGATTTCTATAGCCAGGTTAGACACCGTACCTTCAAATTGCTTTAGAGTCAAGAAACCACAGCCTTCAGTGTTCAAATGAGAAAGGATAAGAAAATATGCCTGCAAGTCTACTTTAGAAATGTAAGCCACTTAAAGGCCATTGAAGAGCAGTGGGTTTGGGTCCTGCAAATGGCATATATATTTATAAGTCAAAGAGGCCCGAAGAGAAGTAAAGCCCTAAGGGGAGCTGAAATGGCTGGTTCCCTCTTTTTTTTTTTTTTTTTTTTGACAGGGTATGCAGATTAGCACTTAAGGTCATGGAGAAAGAGCATGTAACAATGGATTTGCACTTCATTCTTCCCCACTATGACCTTGTCAAAGAATGGGTGCGAGAGGCTGAGCAGCCTTACCATGGAATCCATTGCAGAAAGACTTCTGAGGAAGACAAAGTAAATTAACTTTTGTAATCATAGTTAATCCACTAAAATTTGTCATTCATCTCCCTTAATAGCTTGGGCAATAATGCAGCAATTAATCCTCTCTAATTTCAACAAGTGTCAAAATGAAAATAAAAGGCATTAACTATTTTGTCTTAAGTAAAACTAGGGAACCAATAGTGAATGAGCTGTCTCACATATAACTGACTTGGTTTCAAAACTGTTTTGTGTTCTCCAGTAAATTCTACTTAAAATTTAGTCATTTCTTTCTGTTAACATTTTGTTTGGTTACAAAAGATATTTTATAATTCAGCAAACATTATCTTTTTCCTTCATTATTATACTTTGTTTCATATAATTTAAGTTCTAATATTAATTTAATTAAAAAAAAAAAAAAAGCCCCACTCTTTAAGTATAGTTTCTTTCCTCCTCCCTGCTCCTTTCTTTACATTCTAAACTGATTTTCTCTTGAAGAGCAGGAAAAGGTTCAACCAAAAAAGAGAGCTAGCAATGGTGCTCTTTCCCAAGCCCCCTTCTCCCCACTTGGGTCACAAAGTTGTTCTATACATTGTCCTATATGCTAACTAGGAGATGCCTTTTTAATTCAGTCTAGTTCAGATCACTCTAAGATTTTCTGCTTGTGTATAGCACCTTAGGTATTCTAGGTATTCAAGTCCTTAATCTACTCATTCAATTAGTTGTCTTTTCATACAAATAGTTTCCAAGAAACCCTTCGGAAACACTAAAGGAATTTTGAAGTGCCATAAATAAACCAGGGAGGGTGATGTAAAGATTATATTTGGCAGTGCTCCTCCTTGAACCCATTTCAGCTTCCCTACTCTTCCCTCATTTGGGGAAGACAAGCAACCTGCTCAAGCTGCCCAGTCTTAGTCATACCTTCCCTACTGATGTTAACATTTTTAATGGTGGCAGGGAATTGTGGGGGTGGTGGTGGTTTTTAAATAAAGCAGTACTTTGCCAGAGGTTGTGTCTGTGGCACCAGTGGCTCACACCAGGCCTTGCCAGGACCTTTTCCAGTATGTCCAACACCTTTTCTGCCTGACCCAGTGAGACAGTCACACGGTTTTAGAAAGAACTAGGGCTTATGAGTAGCTCCACTGTTCATTTATTTGAACCTTTCCCCATGTTACTACCTGCTACTCTTCCACCATCTGTCTTCCCCATCCTTTTTAAACATCCTTTATCCATCCTTTATCTTACTCCTACTAATTTCTGCATTGTTCTGAACCCCTCCTTCTTCCCTCATTGCTTCTCAGACATCTTCACAAGAGAAAGTCACAGCTTTTGAAAGTGGACAGTAGACTGCAATTTCACATGGTACACAGATACCCATGTGAAAATATGTATTGACTGAAGGAGGGAATGACATCAATGTCTGCATCAGCTTAACTCCCCTGGGGCTATCCTCCTCTGAGGTTGCTCTGCCACTTAGGACCTTTCAGTAAATTGCAACCAACTGAAACATTTGAAGAATATTATCTGCTGGTCACAGTGACAGAAAAGAAAAAATTAATTATCTAAGAAGCTTTAAGGACCAGACAACTATTCTGGCCAATATCTTCAATAAGCCAGAAGATAATCTTTCAATATGGAAAAGTTGAACCCTTTATAGTTATGGAGTAAGTAGAAAATAACTTTCATACTTAGCAATTGTCCAAACAAAACAATCATGAAAAAGTGATGGAGCTCCTAAGTTTTTCACAGAGCTGAATTTTTCTCAGAAAATTAATACAGCAAATGAAAATGAAACACTTTAGCTGCCATTAAGAAAGGATTTTCCAAAAACAAATAAAATGAAAAGATAAATAAGAGGTACTCTTCCAAACCCCTGTAAGACATAGCCATAAACTTTTCCACTAGAGCCATATTTTTTAAATGTATAGATCTATAGACTGCTAGAACAGAAAAAGCCAATGAAGATCACAAAGTGAAGCAACAGTTCCAACTCACAGAGCGCGGAATGAAAAGAGAGCCAGAATCCAACCTTCCTAACTTCCAGCCCACTTTTCATCCTACTCTACACATTACATTCCTGCTCAACATGACTTTGCTTAATGTTCAAAGGCTGGAGACTATGACAACAAAGGCCTCCATCCTAAAGCTTCAAAGCTAGGAGATGAAAATAGGTTACAAACACACACATACACACACATATATATGACTGACATTTGAGTGTAATCACATCTCAGTATAACCCAAGGGGAGAGGCAGGTGTGGCAAAATCACTGGATTGGGAGCCAAGCTTTCCAATGAACTCATTATGTGAAACTTACTCCAATTATTTAATCTCTTAGTGCCTTCTTGGATCTCTAAGACCCCTTCCTGATCTAATATTTAATGGTACTCTAAGATAACTCTAACCCACAATGGTGAAGAGTGCTTTTCAAAAATGTGGCTTTTAGAGGCACAAGGAAAGTTTCTCAGGGCAAACACCCACCAGTCGTCTTGATTTCTCTCTTTTACCCACACAGCAAAAACGTCTTCCTTCCAAGCATATTTGGCATAGAATTGCCTAGCATTTCCATTGCCCTCTTTCTCTTCTCAAAGCCAGAAGCCTTCCAATGGCCTACACAGCCTATGTGGTATGGCTGCCGACTTCCTCCCTTACTTCATCTACTACCTCTCCTTCCTTCCTGGCCCTCTGCCATGCTGAGCTTGCTCAGCCTCATACCTGACAGCCAAGTATCCACCTCAGGGCCTATGCACTTGCTGTTCTCATTTATTCACCCCCTTCAGGTCTCTGCTCAAATATCTCTTCCTCAGAGTGACCTTCTTCAACCACTCCATAGAAAGAGTACCCACGTAACCCTGTAGTCTCTACTCCTTCTCACTTTTTTCCATAGCACTTACCACTACCATTCAAATTATTTTTAATGGTCATTTCTCTCTTTCGCCACGAGAATGTAAGCTCCATGAGAACAACTACGGGTTGACTACTCTAGGAAGAGAAAGTTCATTTGAGAATTCCAGGAAGCTGGCAAATGCCCTTCCGCAGTTTTTCAGGTGGGATTCAAACCATCCCACTTCCTTCCAGGCAAAGACATTTCTTCCTGATCTGTGCACAAATAATTCCACTTCCTCTCATTTCCAGAACTGAACAATATTTGTCCCTTCCATATAGTAGGCCCTTGATATTTTCAGAAAAGAGTACTTAAAATGAAACAAGCTGGGGAAGGCTTTTGGCAATCAGTGAGCAAATATGTCAGCAGAGTGATCTTCATCAATGCTGTGTTCAAGTCTTTTGACAAGTTGGGTTACCCAGGCCATTTGTGATCACTGGAGTTACTTGGTTTAAACTTCTCAGGCTGGGAGTGTGGCAATGACTGAGGCAAGCCACAAGTGCCAAGTGGTTAATTACATTTCTGTTACTAATTGTAGTGTGGCATTGTGTTCTCACAGTGAAGTAACATCTAGCGTTTGAGAACTCTCCCAGTTTCAGTTCTCCCCGGGTCACTGAGCTCCTTCCTGGGTAAGACGACTAACTCTATTATCTCAATTCTTTCAAAATTTTAGGGAAGCTGTGTTTAGGTTTGTGAAAGAGTTGTCCTCTTTACATTTCTGCCTCAATTAACCATGTATCACCTAGGTTTCTTCAGCCCTTATTTCCTCAAAATGCCTAAACTTAACCTGGAAAGCAGGAAATGCTGGCTTTCTGGGTGATTCCTTCAGCAATCTCCCCACACACTCCCATCAAGCTTGAGATCCTCTGTCAGTTTTCTCCCTTCTTCTGAGTAGAACTACTAAACTTAACTAGGACACTGGACAGGAGTTTCTGGCAGAGCAGCAGTATAATAAAACATATCATGAGAAAGTTAACAGGGCCCAGCTCTGAGCAAAGTTACCATCCTGAAAGGCCTAATCATCCAAAGATGGAAAGGTCTTTCCCATGATGTAAAGAGCTGACTCCAAACTGACTCCAAACCCAGAGCCCCATAAAATCATGGAGCCAGGTATCAAATCTTTCATCCTACAGGCATTTAGAAGGGAACAAGTTTAGCTCTATACCATCGGAGACCCCTCATATAGGAAGTGGGGAACAATCTTCATTCCCATAGATTACGAAATGTTGCATCTTTTTCCATTTATTTAAACAATATTATTTGATGGCATCCCTTGGCCCCCACCAGGCTGCCTCACCGACAGATGTCCACCAGCTGGTCCAGCTCAGGGCAGCTGCACTCATACATGTCCCGGCAGCTCATGTGGCTCTGGTTCATCAACTCTCCCAGCAGCTGGACCATGTTTTCAGGTGCTTCTTCACATATCTTCTTAAACTGGAGCACTCGCGCAGCCTCGCTGTACACATGCTTTGCCCGCTGATAGAGTTTGAAGATAAGCACTGACGAAGGAAAGGGATGGGGAGGGAGGTTGGGAATAGTTACTGGACAACCCAGTATAAAGAAAAATACACTTTTGAAGACTTTCATTTCTGCTTTCATTATCAATATCTTAAACTGTAATAGGTCTCTCTTTCACTGAAAGGATTCTTTCCATTGAAATGTGTCTATTTGCAAGTCAGTTTTACTTTTTTCTTGATACTGAATAAAATCTTGTAACGATATTTCCTTCACTTCACTCAACACACATGTGCATACACTTATGTGCAATCTAATCCATCCCAAATGAAGAGAGACGTAACATGTATTGAGTACACCCTACACGCCAGACACTTTGAAAGTACTACTTTGTGTAGGCCGAGTGCGGTAGCTCACATCTGTAAACCCAGCACTTTGGGAGGCCGAGGCGGGTGGATCACCTGTGGTCAGGAGTTCAAGACCAGCCTAACCAACACGGTGAAAACCCGTCTCTACTAAAAATACAAAAATTACCTGGGTATGGTGGTCAGTGCCTGTAATCCCAGCTATTTGGGAGGCTGAGGCAGGAGAATTGCTTGAACCTGGGAGGCAGAGGTTGCAGTAAGCCGAGATCAGCCATTGCATTCCAACCTGGGTGACAGAGCAAGACTCCATCTCAAAAAAAAAAGTACTACCTCGTATAGTTCTCATCACAGCACTGAGGGATGTACAGTATGATCCCTGTTAACAGAAAGGAGGAGGCTCAATAGAGTGAAGTGACATGCTTAAGGTCACACATCCAGAACGTGGCGGAAGCCAAACAGATCAGGGATGCCTGACCCTACAGCCATGTTCTTTCCACTCTGCCCCAATAGAAAGGACCCCTGGAAATTCTTAACAGTGGCAATTTTTTAATAAAAATAATATATGTCCCAGATAAACACAATTATTTATATGGGATAATATTTATATATGTACCTATATATATATGTGTGTGTGTATATATATATATGCACTGCAGCATTATTTATCATAGAAGAAAGTAAGAAACAACTCAAGTATCTAATAACAGAGGACTTTAAAAAATTATGCTATATTCATTTTTGAAATATTACTGCTATCAAAACTCAGATTCTAAGGCAATTTGATATATAGGAAATTATTCATTATTAAGTGAAAAAACAACCTGCAAAACTATATGTACAACTGATACTAATTTTCCATACACACATACATATATTTATGTACATTTTAATTTAAAAACCTGATAGGAAAGCACCAAAATGTTAATAGTAGTTATCCCTGTGGTCCATTATGGGTGCTTTTATTTTCCTTTTGACACATATATGTATTTTCCAGATTACCCACAATGACTCTGTAATTTCAGCTACAGAAATATGGCCTATTGCAATGGCTATGTCTATAATGCTTACACATTCCTGTGAATAACAACTTAGACTTCCTTACCATTTTCACCTATATTGAACAGTGGCTTAGCTGGTGTGGTGGGTCTGGGAAAATTTTGGAATATTTATGAAAATTCCCAGGCCTAGGGGGAAGAGACAGGGCTGAAAATAAAAAAGTTTATAATTTATTTGTTTTTTTAATTTTACTTAATTTTTAATTTGTAATTACTACTTAATTTTTAATTTTACTGTAGATATACGCATGCCATGATGGTTTGCTGCACCCATCAACTCGTCATCTCTATTAGGTATTTCTCCTAATGCTATCCCTCCTGTACCTCCCAACCACCGACAGGCCCCAGTGTGTGATGTTCCCCTCCCTGTGTCCATGTGTCCATTGTTCAGCTCCTACTTATGAGTGAGAACATGCGGTGTTTGGTTTTCTGTTCCTGTGTTAGTTTGCTGAGAATGATAGTTTCCAGCTTCATCCACGTCCCTGTAAAGGACATGAACTCATCCTTTTTTATGGCTGCACAGTATTTCATGGTGTATATGTGCCACATTTTCTTTATCCAATCTATCATTGATGGACATTTGGATTGGTTCCAAGTCTTTGCTATTGTGAATAGTGCCACAATAAACATATGTGTGCATGTGTCTTTATAGTAGAATGATGTATAGTCCTTTGGGTATATACCCAGTAATGGGATTGCTGGGTCAAATGGTATTTCTAGTTCAAGATCCTTGAGGAATTGCCACACTGTCTTCCACAATGGTTGAACTAATTTACACTCCCAACAACAGTGTAAAAGCGTTCCTATTTCTCCACATCCTCTCCAGCATCTGTTGCTTCCTGACTTTTTAATAATTGCCTTTCTAACTGGTGTCAGATGGTATCTCATTGTGGTTTTGATTTGCATTTCTCTAATGACCAGTGATGATAAGCTTTTTTTTCACATGTTTGTTGGCCACCTAAATGTCTTCTTTTGAGAAGTGTCTGTTCACATCAAAAAGTCTGTAATTTCTTAACAGCTCTGTGACAACTAGCTATATACAAATTGCTACCTTTATAATACTCTATTTCCTCACCTCTAAAATGAGGTTGAGAGTCACTTCTCAGGATCCTTCTAGCCCTAACATTTTATAATTCTATGAAGGGCTTCTTCCAAGAGTATCTGTCATTCAACATTCCACCCATATTGTTATACTTGATAAAGAAGATGCTGTTACTAGTAGCTTTTGTTTATATCCCCAGTTCTACTCTCTGCCCTTTTCCACCCTCCTATCAGCCCCAAAGGCTGACCTGTATAGACTACACCAGTGAGTCCCCTGCCATCTAGATTTGAGAGCAGGAAAAGATCAGCAACAGATGGGAGGGAAAAGAGTGAGGAGGATTGATCCCCTGGCTCTTCCCTTGCAGAGCCATTTAGAGCTGGCACTGTCCCTTCACTGAAGGACACTGAACATCCTTCAGAATCTCCTTTTCTACATGACTCTCTCCTCCTGGGTCTGCCTCTAGGTTCCTCTCCCCTAAACTATGATTACTTTTACGGAAGCACTTTTACATTTCTACTAATGAACCAATAAATCTTATTAAAGTTTCAGGTTTCATTTTTTCCCCTCCACAGCACTGTCTTTATAACTCTTATTTTCTTAGATAACCACTATTCTCATTATCACACCTAACAAAATTACCAGTGGTTCCTTAATATTGCCTCATATTGAGTCCATATTTAAATTTTCCCAATTGTCCACCAGTTCAAATTTCAATTGGTTTACACCAAGATCCAAACAAATTCCACACATTATATTCAGTTGTTATATCTAATAAGTCTCTTTTAGTCAATCAAGAATTTAGTAGTTTAGTGATTTTTGATACTCTGGATTTGCAATATCCTATCCAAGCATATTTTTGGGCCATATCCTATAATGAAACTCAATACATTCCCTTAGGGAGAGTACACTTTGGTTTTCCTTTAGGATTACATACTTCTTTAGGATTAAATATTTTCTTTTAGGATTAAATATTTTAAAATAGAAACTATCCAGAGAGATGTTTTCTATTAAACCCAGGACTGGTGCTTTGATTTTGACAAAAAACATTCACAAGACACCCACCAGACTACCGGAACTTCACAATCCTGGCACCTTCCTGAATCTGTTCTCTTCTTGCAGAGGAAGTGTTTCACAGTAGGACTTCTGAATACCAGTGTCTAACGAGGACTCTTGCTGGGCATTCTGAAGGTGCATGAGAGATTGCCATGGCTTGCAATCTCCTGAATGGTAGTAACTCAGACAACAAGGGAAAGGGCAGAAAGGGCATCTGTTTTCAATTGTGAAATAAAAATCCTGCCAAAAGCTACAACAGATTTGGAGACCACCCTTTGGGTGGGAAAGCAGTTCTGTGTTGGCTGAATGTCACAAATGCTCTCTGGATTCAGGGTTCTGGCTTGTTACGTACTGGCAACTCATCAGGTCTCTGTTATACAGATATCAAAAAATGCAAGAAAATCTGAAGCTTTATCCATAACAGCTTTCTTTCTTGTCCAGCTAACATGATAGCCGGATGTTCCAGCTGTCTATAAGCTCTTGTAATCATTGGGAGCAATTATTACATTAAAGGATGAAGGAAGCTGTTTCTTACTATGTTCATTGTATGCATGATTACTTTCAAGGCAAATTCAATTTAAGAATATAACACTAGATGATACTTTCCGCCAATTATTAATGGCCTATCCTATTCATGAGAAATCCGAAGCTTCAAAGCGGGATGCACTGCATAGTCTTCAGAACACTGATTTTCTCCAATGTGAATCTTACATAATCACTGAATTTAGTCATGAAATCACGGCACAAATTCTGAAATCTAAATGTTCATGGCCATATATACTTAAACTGCAAAATACATATTTCATTTTGTCGCTAGTAATTTTGACTTGTATAATAAATTCTATTGGCTAAATTCCTTCTGACTGGCCTCCTAGCTGTGCTTCCAGCACACCACATGGCTCCTGCGATAGGTCTGTGGCAGTAGCTGTTTTGTTGTCCTGAAATGCTCTTCCCCATGATCTTCACATGGCTGGTTCCTTCTTGTGGTTCAAGACTCAGACATCACAGCTTTAAAGAGACTCAACTCCAATCTGGAGTAGCCCCCACCAGACATATTTTCTCCATTCTGTTTTACGCTCCCAACACCTATCTCCATCCAATATTTTCCTGTGTGTTCATTTGTTCATTGGTTTGTGGTTGTCTCCCACCAATGTCTAATTTCTTCACAACTATCTCTAGCAGCTAAAATAGGATCTGGCACTTAGTAGGGGTTCAATAAATGTTTATTGAATGAATGATTCCGATCCTTCTCCTTGTAACAAAACTGCACTGAAACTAGGCTAAATAAACAGTAGTGAAACAAGTACAATACAGAATATAAAGGAGACGTACTATTTTGACAACTTATACTCACTAGCATCCTCACCACAAAGTGGGGAAAGTTTGCTAAAATAAAGTTTGGAAACAATTAGTAAACTTCAGTGCCCAAAGTATACCCTAATACTCATTATCACAGATGACTGAGAATTGTTTATGTTGTATTTTGCTTTATAGATGTGACAGAAAAAGAGATTTCTAAAACAAAATGT